GCGTTGTCTCAGTGTTCCCCGCCCCCCTCCCCACTGGAAGTGGAGGGTAAAGTGAGGCCTCCGGGTTGGGTTGTGGGGTGGTTTGGCGGGCGGTGAATTCCTGCCCTCGAGGCATGGCTAGACTGGCCCCAAGATGCTCCAACACTGCCCAGGAGGCCCCAAGACAGCCCTATGGAGACGCCCACGAGACTTCCCGGAAGAATACCTCCCAAAACCCACGACACCTCAACCGAGACCCCCCGCCTCTTCAAGGAATCGGCGGAATGGCGCAAGCCTCTTGAATAACAAACGGCATATGGTACATACAAACCATACAATGAGGAAGTATAATGAGGATACAAGGGCCTTGGAAGGCCATGTCGACATCTTACGAGCGGGGCGTTGTCAACGAAAACGGCCAAGGATGGACCGAAAGGGCAAACATGCAAGGGTAATCGTGTAACAACGCTCATCCTACTATGCGGGCTGACTGTGCATTAGGTTCGCGCGGCGTCGGCGCGCGAAGGTTTTGACACCGTTTCGATCGTTTAACCTTGAACTGATCGCGGTCCCGATCGTTCAAGGTTGTTGGCTTCCGTCGGGTCTCGTGGCGTCACCGTAGCCCTCAGTGCTTCTGCGTCGTTCCTTCATGCGGCGTTTAACCTTGAAGGCCTCGATCGTCAAAGATGATAGCAAGGATGCGCGATCAGGATGCAAGCCCCATGGTCGCACGTGCCGAAACTTCTCGACCAGGGCTGGCCATCGAGAGCGGTTAAGGACGTACCGAGGAGGCACAGAGGGCACCCTTAGGGAGGGTATCCACCCCTGCCATCGGCTTCGACTGTATCGAGCCCTCCGCCCAAAGAGCACCCCCGAGGCCGCCGCCAGGCTCCCGGCAGACACCCAGGAGGCTCCCAGGAGGCGCTCAAGAGGACCCACAGATGTCCGAGCAGGCACCTCAAACGACTCCTAAGAGGCAGAAGGCCTCACCAGTGGACTTCGTTTTTCCTCTGGCGGACTGGCGCAAACCAGTTGACCAGAGGAAGGGACAACGGAATAAACATAGAATGCTCGAACCCCGCTCGGACTCATTCCTGGATCGGCGCTGGAGGCACCGCCAAGAAGGCCTGGCGCCGATCCGAGAACCCCGCGCGGAGCTCCAAGAGCTACATTTATGCCGTCTTGTTCTCCGAAAGAAACTGGCGAGCGACGAACGTATCTTTGGAATTCCGAAAGGGTGCGGTGACAGACCGTGCGGTGACCTCGGAACCCCAAGAAACCTCACCGCACGGTCCGTCACCGCACGGTCTTGGGACCCGAGGCCCCTGTCGCCCGGGACGTCCTCGGAGAGGGACTTGAGTCCCAAAACCGTGCGGTGACCCTAAATCCCCACCGTTTCAGTGTGGTCACCACACCGTGTGGGGGCCCCCGAAACGTATCCGCGTCCGTGCCCTCGCATTCTGGACGCGGGGGGCGCGATCCCGTGGAGGCGCGTCGCGCGAGGCACCGGCGAGCAACCGCCCTCTCTCTGCGCGCGGGGCCGTGGCCGAGGAGACGGGGTCGCGAGGCCATTGATACGGACGCAGTATGAGGAGGATGGGGGAGGAGGAGGAGGAGTCGAGCGTGCCGAGAGGAGGAGGAGGAGGAAGAGGAGGAGGAAGAGGAGGAAGAAATCATCCCCTCCCCTCCCTCCCTCCCTCCCTTACTCCCTCCCTTCCCCGACCGCAGAGAAACCTCCAAGGGACCCAAACCCTGAAGCCCAAGGTTTCTCCCAGATTCAGGGCCTTGGGGATCATGGTTCTCCCGCTGAAAAATCTCTCAGAGTTTAGAAACCCAAGGTGCCCTGGCAGAGCACGAGCGGTTTCTTGATGCGCGTCCCCACCGTACGCCTCCAGCCCGCGAGGAGAGAGACAGCCGCTGACCGCGCGTGGCAGTCCTCTCTTTTCTGTCGGAGCTCAACGCAAACACACCCCCGAGCCCGTCCCATGGTCTGCACCAGACATGAGGGCGGACAGCAGCACTACGACCGGGGGGGAGACGTGTCGCCAACTGCCACGCGTACTGGTGGGCCCCGCTGTCGTTCAGGCCGAATTGCGATCCCCGCACCCGCAAAACCGTGCACCAATACGCTTTCGCCACCGCTCGGGGAGCCGTGTTCTTCATGTCCCTGGGGCAGCGCACTGCATCGACGATCCCTCGAAAGGGCCGATGGGCCCCTCAGAAAGGCAAGAACCACAGCTCCTCCGGCTGCAGCCCGTCTGCCTCATGGGACGCCCTGGAGCGAACGAGCCCCCAGAAACCTCCTGAGCTGCCCTGACTCCTCCTCCTGCTCCTCCTCCTCCTCCTACTTCTCCTCCTTTTCCTCCTCCTCCTCCTCCTCCCCCTCCTCCTCCTCGTCCTCCTCCTCCTTGTCCCTTCCTCCCTCCTCCTCCTCCTCCCTCTCCCTCCTCCTCCTCCTCCTCCTGCCCTCGTCCATCGTGCCTCCTCGTCCGCGTCCCCCCCCCCCTTTCCGCTCCTCCTCCTCCTCCAGCTGGAGCGGAATTGAGGAGGGGAGGGGTGGCCCGGGAGAGCGCAGGGAGGACGAGGGAGAAGAGGAAGGGTAGCTCGCGCGGCAGACCTTGCCCGGCCCGGCGTGAGGAATGAACGAAGGGAAATGAGGAGGGGGGCGAAGGCGGGAAGCAGGGGAGGGAGAAACATCAACAACAGCAACAACAGCAACAACAGCAACAACAGCAACAACAACAACAACAACAACAATTACTAGCACGTGGGGACACACCGTTCTCACCAGTGCCAGGGTTTTCATAGGAGGCGGGCAATACCCCCACTTTGTGGGGGGGCCGGTTCAAGCTCTACCAAATTTCCAAACGACTCTTCGCCACCACCCACACCCAGCTTCCCGCCCTATGACGTTCGGACACTTCACTTCGTGGCATGCGGACGACCGTGGCTACTATTCAGGGCCCCGCGGCCGACGACGACGGCGTGCGCGCGCGAAGAAAAAACGAATGTGTCCCGCATGGTATTATTTGACAGGGATGATGGCCCTGGCAGGTGCGCAACCGTTGTTGCAGAAGTTCGAAAAAGTTGCTCGCAAAAGCCCGTTTGACAGAAATGTTTAAAAAGTGTTGGGTTTCCTACGAATCCGCAAGAGCGCGCGGGATGAATTTTGACATTTTTTTTGTTGAAAAACATTGTTTTTTTATGTTTTTATAAAATCGGTTTTGGAAGGATTTCGTCTTGCGCGCGCGAATGTCCACTTTACCTTATTTTTTGCAAGGGATTCTTGAAGTTTGGTTATGTTAGAACAAGAAATGTCCACTTTAGCTTATTTGTTGCAAGGGAAAACCGATCGTAACAACACAACCGGATCCGGACCAACCCGTTTTGCCTGAGACTTCCTCACGAAAATGATGAAAATAAGGCTGCGGCCTAGGCGCGGCGGGGGGGTCGTGCACCAGGGGTCCCAACAATAATTATTCTTTAGAAGTAATAATGTTCAACAGCACCAGCAGCAGCAACAACAACAACACTCATTTGAAGTATATTCGCTCTTACTGGCACGCGTGTCTGGCATTCCGTATACCCCAACCCTCGAAACCCGCCCACTTCGTCTTCGATTGCACCACCTTTCGGGGGAATCTCTTTCTTGTCGGCCACTGTCTGGAGTGCGAAGAAATGTCGGGCGCGAGCGCCGTTCCTGAGATCGGGGGCCTCTCTGGTCAGAGGCTCTCAGAAGACCTATGGAGAAATATCGAACGGGAACCCTTGTCGCCGTGTCCGGGCTTCCACCAACTTGCCTGAATTACGGGAAGGTCTCGAGCGAGAGACCCGTTCCTGAGTTCGGGGGCTTTCTTGGCCAGGGGCTCTCGGAGTAAAACGTGAGGAAGGATCGAGCAGGAGCCCTTGTTGTCGTGGCTGGGCCTCCGCCAACTTAATCGAATTGCGAGGACGTCTCGAACGAGAGCGGCGTTCCTGAGTTCGGCGGCCTCTCTGGCCAGGGTGTCTCGGGGTAAATTGTTAGGAAATATCGAGCGGGAGCCGTTGTTGTCGTAGCTGGGCCTCCAAGGGCCTACATTTAGGCTCAATCCAACGCTCGAGCGGGAGCACTGTTTTCAGAGAACATGTCGCCGGCGTCGAGGCGAGAGCGCGCGGAACCATTTCCGAAGATCAACAACAATGATGATTTAGAAATGAATGTTTGACAACAGCAACAACAGTTACAAACACAACACCGACAACAACAGCACCGACAACAACAACAGCAACACAAACGAACATCACACCAACAATAACAATAGCAACCACACCGGCAACAAAAACAATAACACCAGCAACAGCAACAACAACAACAACATCAACACCGATAACAACAGCAACACCAACACCAACACCAACAGCAACAGCAACAACAACACTAACGACAACAACAGCAAAAACAACAGCAGTAACACCAGGCACACCAAGAATATTAACAGCAACAACATCAACAACACCGACCATAACAACAGCAACAATAACAACAGCACCAACATCAGCAGCAACATGGCCAACAACACCAACAGCAGCACCAGCAACAACAGCAGCAGCAGCAGCAGCAACTAGAACAATAACCACACCACCAATAACACCACCAACAACAGCGACAACAACAACGACACAACCAACAGCAACGACAACGTTGACATCAATAGCAAGAGCAACGGCTACAACAACAGCAACAACAACATCAATACTAACACCACTTACGGCAACACCACCACGACCAACAATGGCAACATCAACAACAGCACCATCACCAACACCGAAAACAACAGCAACAGCAGCAACAAGAGCAAACACCCCAGCAACAACAACAGCAACAACAAGAGCACCACCAACGACAGCACTACCACCAACAACAACAACATCAACGACACCAGCAGCAGCAGCAACAGCAGCAGAATCAGCAACAGCAAATTCAACAGAAAAAAACATGGAGGGGGGAGAGGAAAGAGGAGCTGCGTTCGGACCCCCCGATCCTTCAGCCTCGCATCTGCGGAGAGCGGCACGCTGCCTGGCGCGTGGGCCGCGGGCATGGCCCCTGGCCGCCCAAGGGCCTGGCGGCGCCCGCGCCGGCAGTCTTCAGCTGCTCCCGGCTGGGGAGCTCGGGGCCGGCGGCGAGCAAGAGGGGCCCCGTGACCCCTCGGACGTCCCGCGCAGGACTCCCTCCTCCTCCTCCTCCTCCTCCTCCTCCTCCTCCTCCTCCTCCTCCTCCTCCTCCTGCTCGTCCTCTTCGTCCTCGTCCTGCTCGTCCTTCTCCTCCTGCAAAACCCCGAGGAGGGTTCTGCACGGGAGCTCGGTGACAGCGATAACGATCGGTCACCTTTTTACTTCCGCACGGCGAAGCGAGTCTCAGTAGCTTCAGCCGTTAAACACTTGAGCCAAAGGTAACGGGGGCACCTTCACTCCCCAGTCACCTGAATGCTTACATGTTAACACCCCCCTCGGACGCTAGTCCGCATAGGCTGACGGGGAGGCGTCTACAAACACAAAAACAGGTCAAACTATGCAAAACTTCGTACGCAAATGACGTTCAGTCTCCTCATCATACCGTTGAATTCGAAATGTCTCGTGACGGCGCTTACGAGCACCAAGTTCCTCACACATGTAACATGAGCTCGAGTAAACGCTTTTACTGTCACAAGTTCAAACGAAGCATCTAAAGTTTACACAGCAGGCTAGCATTTGGATGATTTTGATTGCTTTCGCTTTCTATTCGCCAATACCTGCGGTAACAACAAGAGATGCGCATGCAAACAAACTCAGCTCAACAAGCTGCCGCCACTCGATCGTTAAGCCAAGTTAAGAGGGGAGATGAGGAAGAGCGTGAACTGCAGCATGCTGACTGCCTGCCATCTTTCACTGACGGCGCGGGCGCCTCGCCGACGGGGCTCGTGAACCCCTCGACCTCGGTAACCCGCGGCGTCCCACGCCGGCTGCGGTGTAGGGCGACACCCTGTTAAGGGCCTGCATCGGGCTGTAGTAGTCGTTGCCCATGCACGCGTTAATGCGCTCCTCGTCGTCAAGCCAGCACCCCTCATCGTAGCTCTTAATTGAGCCGTCAACGATGTTGTGGTAAGTGCCGATGGCTCTCCAGCAACTGGCGTGGGGAGCCTTTAACAGAGGCCCACCGCCTGGATTGTTACGGAGGTGCTCTTCGACCGCAGCGCCGGTAAACGGGTTCACAGTCCAGGCCGGATCGGCAAGCCAGTTGGGGAAGTCGTCGCACGGTAACCAGCCAAACCAGCAAAGCTTATCACGGTGATCGCTTTTACGCTCGGTGACATGATCTGCCGGCCAATTATCACGGTAAAGTGCCCTCATGGATCCCTGATCGTTAAGGGCAACGTCCAAGATGGTCTGGTGCCAGTAGACTGGAGGCTTGCTGATGCTGCCCTTTAACTCCTCGGTGCTCCTGACCTCGAGGTCGTCGATGAAGTAGTTGCGGTAATGCACCTGGAGCCCGTTCATGCAACGGCAGTAGAGCCTGGCGAGATCGGGCGTCGCAAAGCGAATCACGGTAACTCCAGTCGAGATGTAACCGTGCGGCCCATGAGTGTCCTCCACCAGGTGCTTAACGGAGATCACGGTGGGGTTGCCGTGGGGCAGCATTCCTGCCCACGTTAAGAGGAGACCGTTAAGCTGCTTCTCGTTCATCTCCGGCACCTTGTTGACGTACACCTGCGCGTCAGGGCAACTGTGGAGCTCAAACCACGATGAGTGAAGCTCGTTAATGTTGAGTGGTGGCACGTAGTCATCGTCAAATAGGGACTGCACGTGCCCAACCGCGTCAACCCATTCATCATGCTTGGTCAACTCTTTGTCCGTTAACTGAGATCTCCAGCTGATCGGACCTTTCAACACGGCATAGCCGATGAAACCGTAAGCATGTTGGCCAAAGATGTCAACGAACACGTCATCGTAATCGTTAAGCTCCCGCCCTGTGTTGCCCTGAATGGACCTGCCGCCAGGGGTCGTTAACCCCGCCTTCGCCACGTGCCCGACGAAGTTACCCTCAAACCTGCGCCAGTTGTCCCGTGTCTTCATCGTTAAGGCTACCACCTCCCTGGGGTCAGGTTCCGCCCGAAAGTTAACGTCGTAGTCGTCGCTCCTGTCGTTCAGCAGGGACATGCGACCGTTGACGTGGCACAGCGGGCGGCGCACCGCCTTGGCGACGGTCCTGGAGTACCCCTCAAGCTGATCAGTCGTGCGGTTAACGACTTGAGGCTGCGGTGGCGGGATGTGCTGGATCGGTAACCTCTTGGGCTCTGGGGGCGGGGGCTTCACGGCGGTAACGCTGCTTGCCGCTCTGGACTCGCCGAGCCCCGGAGAGGGCGGCTTGGCCGGCCTCGCATTTACGACGGGGGCAGGATCCTTTGGCGCCTCATCACGTTGACCACCAACCGTTCGATCCTCGTCCATCTTCATGCCTATCTGCATCAACTCCTCCAGCTCCCGTTGACCTTCACGCACGGCCTTCGGCGCCCGCTTGTAAACAAGCTGTGGCTCTTCACCGCCCTGCCGGCTCAACGGCGACGGTCGAATCTTGTTCGGTGACGCGGACCGTCGACCCCCCCCGGCTTTAGCGGTTACGCCGGCCAGGTCCTGAGTAGGGGGAGCCTTGCCTGGCGGAGCCACGTTGACCTGCTGCGCTGGGGGCGCGCCCGTGGCCATGGGCCCGACTGCCGCGGCGGCGGCAACGGGCGGCGCCTTGGCGGGTGCTGCCGTCGGGGGCGACCCAAGTAACGGCGGCGGCACCTGCGGAATATCGGTAACCGAGGAGTTGATCGGGTCGTCCAAGAACTTCTGCAAACCCTCAAGCCTCTCGGTAACTCCCACTAGCATACGTAGCGCCGCATCACGTTTACCTTCGAAGTCCTGCAGGGGCGCGATGTTCTCGGTAAGGCGCCTGGCGGTATTCAAGAGGCAACCGATATTTTCGTTAATGCGCCTGTACTTGGTTGCGTTCTCCGCCGTGTTAACCTCCGAGTCGCGATTCTTGATGTTCAACTCTGTCACCGTCGCCACAAGGTTGTTAACCTCGTCCTGCGCCCTCTTGAGGTTCTCGTTGACATCGTCACTGGCGTGAACCAACGCGGTGTTCTGCTGCGTTAAGTCAACGATCCTCCGCGCCATGTCATCGGCAACCCTCTGCATCTCGTCAACGTGCTTACCATAGGCCCCGTGGAAGTTAATGGCCATGTTGGTGAGGGTCACGGTAAACGCATGAGCCACGTTGACGATATCGTCGACACGGCGATTGAGGTTCTCGCGCGCAACCGGTCTTGCCCCAGGCGGGCTCTGGTCGACCGCCGCGCCGTTGATCGTGACGTTGACTTGGTGGTCCGCCATGCTTTCGTTCACGCTCGAGGGAAAGAGGTAAAGGATGGAGGAAGCCTTAATCGAGACTGCTTGCTTGACAGAAATGAGCTGCGGATGTCAACGCTCGGTGGCCGGCGCAAGGCCGTGCCGACCTGTTAATGCACTTTGGTTTGTGTTCAGCAGGTGTGTGCTCATGCTCTCACGACTGACATACTTGGTTAATGCATCTGCTACGCTCTCATGTGTGCCTACTTTCACAATTCGAATCACTTCCTCCTTTACCTTCTGCTGCAGCCACAGCTGACATACTTCAATGTGTCTTACTGTTCCTAAACCTCGTCTACTCGCAATTGCGATTGCAGCCGTGGCATCACTTTTCAAGGTGATCTCAACTTCCAAGTTAAAATCCCTCAACACTGCCTGAAGTCCTAGTCCGACTGATCCTCCTTTCACGAGCCCGTAATATTCTGCTCCCCCTGACGATAATGCAATTACACTTTGAGTTGTGCTCCAAGATTTTATAAGGTGTTTACCCCACATCACTACTCCTCCACTCGTAGACTTCCTAATTCGTTTACATCCAGCGTAATCTGTGTCCGTCCAAATCGTCAACTCTCGAGGCTGTTCTTGATACTGATACACGTAACTGCTTCTGCTGTGATACTTCAAATACTTTCCTAGCTTGACTAGACCTTTCCATGAACCCATAATTGGTTTTGACATGGTCCTAGCAAGTTCTTTGACTGAATACTGTATGTCCGATCTGTCTTGAGCTAAATACTTCGCTCTAGCCGTTAATGCCTGATATCGCTTAGTCATGCTGGGCGAAAGTTCTACCTCGTCTCCCTCTTCAACTGGAATGCGTTCGCCTGGCACCTCAGTCCTCACTTTTACTCCCTCAAGTTCAAGCTCTTTCACAATTATTTCTGCATGCCTTTGATCGGCCTCATATCTCAATCCTTCCTCAGTCCACTCCACAATCCTGTTAAGAATCCTGATCGCCTTCATGTCCTCTTCCCCCGGTCCAAGTCGTCCTCTCACTTTTACCTCGAACTCCTCCTTTATTTTATTTTCAAACCAATCGAGATCAAGGTCACCACCTAGTAGAGTAAAATCATCCCCGTGGACCGTTAACCATAGGGCTCGGGTCTCGTGCTTAAACACGCACGGTGACGCAACTCCACTTTTGAACCCAACTCTAATGGCAAAGTCCATGTAACAGTCTTCCCAGTTGCTTGCCGCATCTCTTGTTCCATACATTGACTTCAGTAACTTTCCACACATGCCCGGCTCGTAATCCTCGTCCGGTAGCCTGATAAATATGTCTTTCTTTGCAGGAGCGTAAAAGTAAGCTCGTTTAGTGTCAATGAATGCCAGCTTTAATCCTTTCTCGCGCTCGCCTTTCTTAAATCCCACTCCTTCGGTAACCGCCATTGAGAAGAGTAGCTTCTGTGTTTCCAGTGGGGGCGCAGCCGCAAATATACTCTTTTCTTTGGGGTTGTATTTAACTTGTTGGGCCACTAGCCTTGACCTGTGGTCAGGGCTTAACTCATCTCCTTTGTTAATATCTATCCATCTGGTTCCAATGGGTGCCTTTCCCGTAACTTACCAGCACACTTCTTCTTTCACTTTCTCGTGAACCTTGTGCTTTCTAAATTGCTCCATCTCTTCCTGACGCGCTTTCATTGTTAGTTTAGGATCAAGTTCGTTTCCT